AGGCCAGGGACGCCACAGTTCTCAACTGCCGTCTCCTCCACAGCATACACATCTTTAGATCTGTTGTTCGGTTCAGACTCTAGGACCCTCCCAGAGCCAAAGACAGCCAGGGCTTCAGGAGGTAGCAGAGCCCAGTGGGTGGCGGGCAGTGACTGCACCACTAGGAGTTGTCGTGTCCTGTGGTGCCTCAGTTTATTTATCTGTAAGTTGGGCATACCAGAACCTGCCCTGTGGCGTCAGGAAGCTAAATGAGGTCCGTTCTTTTCTTAGTGTCTGGGAGCTCACGGGGCTTTCAGGTCCTTAGACTCTGTCCTCCTGGGTCTGGCTTCAGCCTGAGCTGCCCTTCATGCTCACGGGCACCTTGGGGGTCCTCCTTCACCTCTTCCTGGCTGAGGCAGGTGTTTCCAGGAGGTCCTGGCAAGGCCTGCAGGCCTCAGAGGTTCTGGGTTGTAGGTGGCCGTGTCTGCTGAGGGGCCCTGGGCAGCCTGGTGCCTTTGGCTTTTGGGGAGGCTGGGGAGGAGCCGGGTCCCCCCAAGACAAGCCCCGTGGTAGCCTGTAGTCCAGTGACCTTTGGGCCCAGCCTTCAGGGTGGGACAGAAGGCTGCAGGTCCTGGTCATTTGGTGTTAGGACAGGACCCCATGGTGTGAGGACAGGACCCTGTGGTGTTAAAGACAGTATCCCATGGTGTTAGGACAGGAGGATAGGACCTTGTGGTGTTAGGATGGGACTCAGGACAGGATCCCATGGTGTGAGGACAGGATCTCATGGTGTTAAGACAGGACTCCATGGTGTTAGGACAGGACCCCGTGGTATGAGGACAGGATCCCATGATGTTAGGAGGTAGGCTCTCATGGTGTTAGGAGGCAGGATCTCATGGTGTTAGGAAGGGATCCTATGGTGTGAGGACAGGATCCCATGATGTTGGGATATGATCCCATGGTGTTAGGATCCCATGATGTTGGTATATGATCCCATGGTGTTAGGACGGGATCCTATGGTGTTGAGACAGGATCCTGTGGTGTGGGGACAGTATCCTGTAGTGTTGGGTTAGGATCCCATGGTGTTGGGGACAGGGTCCCATGATATTGGGGAAGGGATCTCATGGTGTTGGGGAATGCCCCTTCACTCTGCTGGCTTTTGTGTGGGAAATGGCTCTGCCGCCCTGGAAGAGAAGACAGTGAATTGAGTGTGAGCCTGTGGCTGAGCCCTGAGCATGCACAGAATGGAATCTGTCCCTGGTGACCTTCCACACCCTGGGCATTTGGGTCACTCCCCACATGCAGCCTCAAGCCACATAGGAATGTGCTCTCCGCTTCCTTCTGCAGGCCTGCCACTGCTGACCGGGTACGCCTCCTACGACACACACCATTCAGGTATGGGGTGCTCTGGGCCGGGCATGACACGGGCTTTTCTTGAGGACAGCCTGATGACCCATGTGGGATGTGAGGTCCTGTGGACAAGCATGACCTGGGCTGGAGTTTGAGGACCTCCCCCTCCTCATGCTGTGTGGTTTGGGAGCAAAGAGGTAGCCCAGCTTTGCTCAGCCTTCCCTTGAGGAGGTCCTGGTCATGCCAGAGGGTCCTGCACAGGCACAATCACGCACGAGCGAGAGTGTGCTGCCCCACTGTGGAGGGACATCAGGCTCCTCATCTGTGAAATGGGAGCCGCGGTAACACCTGCCTCCAGGAGTGTTGTGGAAGTCTGTGTGTGGCAGTCACTGAGGTTGTCTAGCAGGGACACAGCTGGTTAGTGTCACGCACAGCCCCTCCAGTTCTGCAGTGGGAGTCATGATGGTGGCTATAATGATGCTGAAAGTGCTGATGGTGATGATGGTGATAATGGTACGGATGGTGATGTTGATGATATTGATGGTGCTGGTGCTGATACTCATGATGCTGCTGCTGCTGCTGCTGGTGGTGGTGGTGGCTGGTGTTTGTGGAGCACTTTCAGGTCCCTGGGTTAGGGCTGACCCTCCTGTGGGCTCTTTCCCACCTCCCCTCTAACCATCTCTAGGTTATAGAAATGGGTTACTTCCTAATTTCTAGGCTCCAGACCCTGGGTGGTGCAGCTGACAGGCCCCCGAGTGGGGATTTGTCCCAGGTGTTCATCTTTATTGTGGCCCACCATGGGCACAGGTGGCCTCTCTTTACAGCCTTGTCTGGTCACATGGAGGACCCAGTGGGGCTCTGGGAGGAAGGTGCACCAGGGACCATCACAGCATTGGCAGGTGCTTAGCCAGTGAAAAGATGAAGGAACAGCACACTGCTTATATAGTACCACTCTGTGTGCTGGGGATCATTCTAGACTAGGCTGTAGATGACTCTGGGCTTGCACAGTCTCCTGATATATCTGTCTCTAAGCCTGGGCCTCTTGACGACACTCAGAAGAGGCTCTGGACCATGGGCTGAACCTTTGGCCTTGTCAGTGCTGGGCTGTGGCCCTGAGAGTTCGCTGACCAGTGCATTCTGGGGGTCACCGTGGCCGGGCCTGGCACTGTGGCCATGAGGGAGAGGTGAAGTCATGCAGTGAGGAGGAAGTAAGTGGCCATGAGCCTTGTAGAGCTGACTCAGCACATGTGAAGGGAGAGAGGTTCCCAGCCTCTGTGTGTGCAGACCATCCTGAAATTCCCTGTGAGGAGAGCAGGAGTTCTCTGCACTGTATGTGCAGACCACCGTGAGACCCTTTGTGAGAAGAACAAGGTTGCCAGCACCACGTAGGCAGATACCTCTGAAATCCCCTTCCAGAATGCAGTTCACACGTGGTCTCATTAGGTAAGTCACAGTCAGGGCTCCTGATTCCTGACTACGGAGATAACATAGAGAGTGAGATGGGTGGTGGGTGATGGGGACAATGTAGAGAACCTTGGGCCTAGGCACGCCCGCAGCAGACCATGCCCTGTGGAAGCTGGTGCTTTGGGCCTGCGGGCCAGGCTGGCTTGACTTCCTATTTATCCAAAGAAGACAGAACTCTGGCTCTTTTCATTTATTTGTTTTTTGAGGCAGAATCTTACTTTGTAGACTGGGATGGCCTTGAACTCATAGCTCTCCTGCCTCAAGCATGAGCCACCACATCCCACGAGGTCTGACTTTGTGTGTGGAATCTACCCCAAGAAATGTTGGCAGCCAGTTTCCCTCGGTGCCACCCACTGTCAACCTGTCCAAGGCTGCCCGCTTGTTCCCAGCCTGCGTGTCTGCAGGGAAGGAGCAAACAGTGAGGATTTTGTGTCTTAGCATTTTGGCGAGAACTGCAGCCTGCTGTGAGGAACAGAGCCGGGCTCCCATGGGGCAGCTGGATCAGCAGGGTCAGAGCCCTCAGTTCATCTGCAAAATGGCTGCAGTGACCAGTAGCGACCACAGGGTCAGATGTGTGGATGAGCCCAGAGTACCTGGTTCTGTGACTGACAGTCCTGTGGACCAGGGATTGGGGTTCAGAGCCTTGGACACCTCCTTTATAGACACCGTCCTGTTTCCGTGCTCATGTGGTTTCCCAAAGCCCCGAAAAGCTGTTGCTGTTGCTGATGGGCGCACTTGTCCCAGGCCACACAGCTCGAAGGCAGCAGTGCTAATTCTGTAGTGATGCTGTGCGGATGGTGATGGTAGTGATGGAGATGATGCTGATAATGTATTTTTAAAATACTATATTATTTTTACTTTATGTGTATGAATGTATTGCTTGCATGTAAGTGCAACCGTGTTGTACAGTGCCCGGGGAGGTCAGAAGAGGATATCAGATCCCTTGGAACTGAAGTTACAGACAGCTGTTAGCTACTCTTTTGGTGCTGGGAACTGAACCCAGGTCCTCTGCAAGAGCAGCCAGTGGTCTTCACCGCTGAGCCACCTTCCAGCCTCATGATGCTGATAATATTGATGGTGCTTATGGTCATGGTGGTGATTGAGGGTGATGTGCTACTGCCTTTAGTGGGCATGGGAGTGAGGTGGGGTGAGCTGCTGGCATCCTCTGTGGCTGCATCCAGAGTCTTAGAATCTCAGTGGCAGGGTGGTGAGCCTGTCCTGTCTGGGTATCTTGAGACATTTTGTTCCTGGGGGTGGTGAGGGATTTTGGTACTGAGATGCCCCAAGATGACAGGGTGAGGGGCACAGGTGAGCCTGGGACATAGGTGGGTACCGGCAAGCACAGGGCACGGGAGCACAGCGATAGGAGTGATGGGAAGGTGGATTCTGTCGCGCATAGTGCTTGCCTGCTTTGATGTGCCCAGCCCCGGGGGAGGGTCTGAGGACTTGAGTGCATCAGCCCGGCTGACACAATGTCAGGTGCCCTGACAGGAGTAACCAAGCCTGGCATGACCTTCAGGGACGCCCTGGGACTGGGCAGCCTGGACGCTGTGCCTACAAGGAGTTCGAGACTCTCCAGGCCGCTCATGGAGAATCGTGTGAGCTTAGCGCTGTCGCTGGAGCCCGCCTCCATGCTGGCTGTGCCAGGGCTGCTGGGCTGTGAGCTTGCTTTTCCTTGTTCTTCACCTTTGAGTTTACCCTGGGGGAGCCTGCTGTCCACGTGAGAGGGCTCCAGTGTGCCTACCACACTCAGGAAGCCAGAGGTTGGAAAAGCTGAATACAGTGTGCCCAATAGTGCAGGTTTGGGTCTTCATCCAAAAAGTGAGTTGGGATTGTGTGTCAGTGGTCTATTGGCACCAAACCGAAGCATTTCTCTTTCTTCTAGAATTTATTTACTGATTTATTTGTTTTGGCAGCACTGGGGCCCAGGACCTGGCCCGTGCTGGGCAGACACTATGCTTCTGCTGCACCCTAGTCTGAGGCGGTGAGCGGGCGGGCTGGTGTATGTGCGTACACCCTCCTGTGGAGTTCCCCTGGAGGAGCCTGCTGGTCTGAGGGCTTCCGGCTCTTTCTGGAAAACAGGCTTGGGAGCTTCTGCAGTGGTTTAAACAAAATCCGGGGGTCCTTTGGGATGACACTGTGATCATCAGTGGATTTTCCCCTCGTTGTGAGTGGAAACAGAGTCACAGGCTTCACGAGATGCCTCACCTCAGCTTCAGCCTGTGGAAGGTTCCAGACCTTGTTCACAGATCTGCGTGTCTGCATGTGAAGGTGCATGTGTGTATACACGGTGCATGCATGTATTTGGGCGTGCAGGTGTATTTGTGTGTGTGGGTGCATGTTTGCGTGTGTGCACACAGGTGCACGTGTGTGCATATTCACGTGTGCACCACAGGGTCCACCTGCCACTGCCTCCCAGCACTGGGATTACAGGTGTAGGCCATCATACCTGGCTTTCTTTTAAATGTGGTTTCTGGTCCAGCTCACATCTGAGTTTGCATGGCTGGTCCCTAACCTTTACGACTGAGCTGTTTCCCCAGCCCAATCTTGTACTTAAAGTTAACTCGGCCCTGACAGCATCTGAGTCATCTGCTCCCTTTAGTGTGGATCAGCTCCCGCTGATGGAAACCACTTCTAGAATCTTCTCCATAATGTCCAAGACACAGGGATGTCCAGGTGGAGGAAAGGCTGGGGCTTTGGGCCGGAGATTGCCCTTAGCTCTGACAGCTGTGCTCCCCCTGCAGGTTTCTACCAGATGGTGATCAGTTTCTATTACGGGGGCAAACTGGCTGGCCAGACCACCACCACCTGCCCCGAGGGCTGCCGCCTGGTGCTCAGCCAGCCGGGACTGCCCAAGCTCTGCGGCCCCGACGGCCTGGAGCTGGTGAGCTTCCCCACGGCCGACATCATTCCCAGCGAGCGGCAGAGGCAGGTGACCCGAAAGCTGTTCGGGCACCTGGAGCGAGGCGTGCTCCTGCACAGCAGCCGTAAGGGCGTGTTCGTGAAGCGGCTCTGCCAGGGCCGTGTGTTCTGCAGTGGCAACGCCGTGGTGTGCAGGGGCCGGCCCAACAAGCTGGAGCGTGAGGAGGTGGTGCAGGTCTTTGACACCAGCCAGTTCTTCCGAGGTCTGTACCCGCTTCAAGGGAGCACTCATACCCACCTCCTCCCCTCGCCACCTGCACCCGGGACATGGGACTGTCTTGCGGGGTGGGGGTCTGGGACAGAGGTACACTTTGACCACCTGCACTTTCTCTCTGAGCAATCTGGGGAGCCTCTGCCTCTGTTTCCCCAGGGGAAACAGGACAGCAGGGCTGAGGTAACAGCTCAGGACTGCTCTCTGGCTGAGAGCTGGGTGGGGATGTGGTCTCCAACCTCACCCAGCCCAAGTGTAGCACCTTACTTTGGCAAGGCTCCCCGGGAGGCACATGTGATTCATGGGCGTCAGGCCCTCATCTCACGGCCTGCATGTGACCCAGGATAGCCATGAATGTGGCCCAACACATAATGGAAAACTTATTTAAAACATGACTTTTTTGGTTCAGCAGGGCAGGTGTTTAGACCCTGCCTGCATCTCCCCCAAGGCCAAGTCCTGTCAGCAGCCCCCACTGGGCACTGGCTCCCCCCCACCTCCTGTACCCTCTGCTTCTTATCAGGCTTAGAGTTAGTGTTTGTTTTGAGAACTTGTAGCTGTGTTCATAGTCCTCCCAGCTTTGAGGTGAGGCTGTCCGGCTGCTTTGGGGACCTGAGAAGCCATCAGAGGCATCAGGAGGCCACAGTCCCCAAACTCAGGTGTCCCCAGCATGCAGGGGTTGAGGTGCACGGCATGGAGAGTGGGTTTGTGCCACGGGAAGGCTTTCAGATTCAGGGCCGATGAGCCTGCCAGTCAGGCGTCGGGATGTGCGCCTGTAGTCCCAGCACCTGAGAGGCTGAGGCAGGAGGGTGACCTCCAGTTCCAAACCAGCTTGTGCTACAGAGTGAGATCCTGCCTCAAAAAACCCAAACAGGTCCCCTAAAAAGCCCAACAGTGTTTGGGGCTCTGCACCCCAGCCCCGCCCAAGGCGCAGGGACTCACTCACTGGTCCCTGTTTCTCCAGAGCTACAGCAGTTCTACGCCACCCGGAGTCACCTTCCTGACAACAGGGTGGTGCTGTGCTTCGGAGAAGAGTATCCGGACACTGCACCCTTGCGCTCCAAACTCATCCTTGTGCAGGTGAGAACCAGCGGCTTCGGCCCGCACCCTGACCTCCCGGGCCTTGTTTGTAACTGGCCAGCTGTGCCTCATGTGAGAAGGTACATCAGGGACCGGGCACCCCGTCTGTGTGGCGGATGCAGAGGCCGGCCAGATCCGCACATGGCTGGGACGTGGGCTCTTGCCATCTCTGTGTGTGCTGCCCCCTCACGTCGGGGCTCTTAATCTGTTTCCTCTCCTCTCCCCACGTCCCCCATTTCTCTCTCTCTCCCTTTCTCTTCAACCTGGCCTTCAGGTCCGAGGGCAGACTAGATGAAAAGTCCTCGTTTCACTCTGGCCCAAGGAATGGCTCCCACCGTAAATCCCCAGCCTTGGCTAGCTAGGTTGGGGCAGTGCGGGGAGGCACACTTAGCAATTTTGCAGGAATACTGCATCCCTGGCTCTTCACGTGGTACCTGGGCGGGGGGTGTCAGAGGCTGCCCGGGGAGGGGAAGGCCCCGGTCACCACTCGCTTCGCCTCTGACCCCGCACACGTCTCCCCTCCGCTCTCCTCTGACTCTGCACGTGACCCTTGCAGGTGGAGCAGCTGTATGCCAGGCAGTTGGTAGAGGAGGCGGGGAAGAGCTGCGGTGCTGGGCCCCTGATGCCAGTGCCCGAGGAGCCCCAGCCAGACCAAGCCTTCCGGATGTTTTCAGATATCTGTGCTTCACACCAGAGACCGTTTTTCAGAGAAAACCAACAGATCACCGTCTGAGCGTCTTTCCCACGCACCCCACCCCGAGAGACTTCAAGCATCACGATCGATTCTTTGTCAGACTTCGGAGACAAATGTGGACCAGACTGCCCAGGGTCCCTGCCCTCGCTCCTTGATTCAGTCGGAGCATCCTTTGGGGGCCCCCAAGTGGGGCCAGAGTTCTGGGCAGGTGCAAATGTGGAAGCTTTCCAGTGCTGTGGTCAGAGCCTGTGATCAAAAGTTTAATTTTTGCATTTTCTTCTTTATCGTTAGTGCCCGTGATTCTTGCTTTGTGTGGAGTTGTGCCACTTTGGGAGTGTGAAATCAGCCCGTGACAACGAAACTGCCTTTTTCCTCTCTGCCTAGAGCTGGGCGTTTCTGACTCCCCGTGCTTGATTCTACACGAAGTGTCCTTTAACTGTCCAGCCTTTAGATAAGATTAAAAAGAGCTAGCTCCGAGCTTCCCTCTTGGAGGTGTGAGTCCAACTGGTGGCCTCAGGAGAATGTGCTGTTTCTCCTGGGGTCAGGGGCTGGGAGGCCACGCACATAGCCAGGCACACCAGTGTGGGATCGATTCCTCAGACGGCGCAGGCTTCTCTTTTGGAGGAAGCTGAGAAATAAAAAAATTACATATATTTGTTTCTGTAGTGAAATCATCCCAGGAGCCCTTTCTAAGTTGTCCTGACCCACTTTAACAATATTTGTATTTTCATGTGCCCTGTTGTAAATCGCTTTGGACCTTTTTCTGTCAAGTGAGTGGATGTAATTACAAGTGCAGACACTTGGTGGATTGCACATGTATTTGATTGTGGCTCAGTTCAGTGGCCAGTCCTATGATTCAGCAAAAATCAGAGTTGAAGGGAGAGTCTGAGCATAGATTTGGCAGAGCTCACTCCACTGACCAGCAGAAAAGGCCCATTTCCCACTCAGCACAGAGCAGCGTACCTGTCTATAATGGACTCTGACCGAAGAGTGGGGGGAGGTACTTAGGGCTGTTTATGTCCCTGGCTGTCCATTTGGGTTCTAAGGAGTTTAAGTCGCTTTTAACCTGTGATTAGGAAACGTTTTAAGAGCTGAGTGTTGCAGGCACCTGGGAACAGCTGTGGGTCTCGAGCAGTCGGTGCAGGCATCAGCTTGGCAGAAGTTGGGCTGCAGGGTGCAGGGGGTCACCTCCAGGACAGCTGCCCAGGGCGAGCTGAAGCTAGTGAGTTTATTTGGCCATCAGAGCTCAGCAGGCACCCATGCCCAGTGGGTGGGGCACAGGGAGCATCTTCCCTCTACCCCATCCTGGAAAAAGGGGGGAGGGAAGGAGAGAGAGCGAGCGAGAGAGAGCACAAGAGAGCTTTATTTCTCCTCTGCAACCTGCCCTGGTAGTCCTGCCTGATGTGCCCAGAGCCCCACAGTGAAGGGCAGGCCAGGTCTTCCCTGTTCCCTGTGGGTCTTAGATGTAGGAAGGTGCCAGGGTTTGGGAGACAGACACAATTAACCAATGGCTCCACAGGCCATGGCTTTTGACCTGGAAAGCCAAAGACCATGAGCTACTTATGGCTATCCTGAAAAGATGGAGGTGGATCAGGAGAAAAGACAGCCGCCAGAGTGTGCAAATACGGAAACCCTGGACTGGCTTTTCTCCTGGGCCTGTTTGCTGAGTGCTTGTCAGAGGTGATTTCCTGCCCCAGTGAATGTTAAACCAGACCTGTAATATGTCTAGTGAATATTTATTTTTGTATCCTTTTAAAAGTTGATCTTATTCTTTATTAAACTAAAACTCTGTTTCATAAAGGAAATGTGTGCTTTTTTTTTTGGTCTTTTTGAGACAGGGTCTCCCTGTAGCCCTAGCTGTCCTGGAACTCACTATGGAGACCAGGCTGGTCTCCAACTCACAGAGATCCGCCTGCCTCTGCCTCCCAAGCACTGGGATTAAAGGTGTGCGCCACCACACCCAGCTGTTGTTTAAATCACTGACAAATATAATTGTCACATAGGCTCACAGGGACTATTTCCTGCTCTCTGGTGCCAGGATTATAGGTGCACACTACCGCAACCAGCTTTTTACGTGGACTTTGGGGGTTAAACTTACATCCTCAGGCTTTCATAGTGAGTCCTTGACAAACTGAGCCATCTCCTCACCCTCACACCTTTATTTTTAAGATATTTAATTTTTATTTTATGTAAATGAGCGTATTGCCTGCATGTATGTAAATGTACCCATGTTGTGCAATGACGGTGGAGGTCAGGAGAAGGTTTAAGATCCCCTGGAACTGGAGTTACAGATGGCTGTCAGCTGCCATGTGGGTGCTGGGAACCAAACTGGGTCCTCTGCAGGAGCAGCCACCTCTCCAAACCTCCACACCTTTATTTTTTAAGACAGCATCTCTTACCAGCATGGGGCTCACTGATTGGGTGAGGCTGGCTGGTCTCCACCACCCCAGTGCTGGGGTGACCTGTGTGCACTGCCTGCTGCTTTCTTGAGCATGCACTTACCTCCTGAAAACTGCTTTCATGTTTAATGGCACTAAAGACATTATTTTGCTCATGAATTTGTTTGTTTTTCTGAGACAGGCTCTCATGGGACCCAGCCTGGCCTTGAACTCCTGATCCTCCTGCCTCTGTGTCCTGAGTGCAGGGTCACAGACATTGGGGGGAGGCATCATAGGCATGCTCCACCTATGTACTTTGCAAATCAGAATGTGGACCGGTGACATGGCCTTGGCTTTTCTCTGCTCCCTATGCGGGATGTCAGCCAGGAAGACTCACATAGCCAAGGTGACTTCGATCCACATCTTTGCTCACATTTCTGGGGCCCAGGTTGGTGATATGGTGTCAGAGGAAGCTGGAATGGGGGTTGGGTCTCCTCCCGACACAGCCACAGCTCAGTTCTCCCCTTTGCTGTCCCCACCACCTACCACCTTGCAGAATTTTATTTTCATGTATTTTTTAAAACTGTGGGGGTGGTGGAGCGATGGCTCAGTGGTTAAGAACACTGACTGTTCTTGCAGAAGACCCAGGTTCGAATCCCAGCACCCACATGGCAGCTTGAAAACTGTCCGTTAACTCCAGTTCCAGGGGGTCCGACAACCTCTTCTGTCTTCCTTGGGCATTGCACGACACAGGTGCACTTACCTACATGCAGGCAATGCACACATACACATAAAATAAAAATAATAAAATACTTTAAAAAATAAAAGCGTGTGTGTGTGTGTGCACGTGCGTGTGCATGTATGTGCGTAATATATGCCATGGTGCAAGTGTGGAGGTCAAGAGGACAAGCAGCGGGAATCGGTTCTCTCCTTCCACCATACTGGTTCTGAGGATCTAACTCAGGTCATCAGCCTTGGTGGCAAGCTCCCTCACCCTCTGAGCTGTCTCACTGGCCCCTCATATATTTTCAAATTAAAATTTCGGCCAGCTCCCTGGTTTTCCTGCTCTTTGCTGGCCCTGGATTCCCAGGCTGAGGCTCTTTCTTCCATCTCTGGGCAGTGGCCTGGGCCCTGCCCGCTGCACTGACACCTTTCCTGTGAGCCTCTCCAAGCCTGACTGATCTGTTCCTGGGTGCCGCCTCACAGGCTTGAGTTGGGGTTGACTCCAGGAGGTCAGGCATGGGCTTCCTGTGCTGCTCCTGCCTTGTCCCTGGAGCGTGGCTGGGCCCTGGCTCCTCTTTCCCTGGTGCTCTGCTGGTTTCTTAGTGACAGTCAGAGCAGTAACAACAGAGCCAGCTTTGGGTAACAGGCTATTTAGGACCAGAAATGCCCAGGGTGAACCTCCAGTGTCACCTTGGAGAGGGTGAAAGAGTTTCAGGAGTTACTGAGACTCCCATGCCTTCATTTCCCCTCATATAGGACCAAGGTAACATGTATCAGCAACAATGGTTGGCAACAGGTAGCGGTTCACCGGTGTGGCTCTCTTCACGGAGGACTGGGTGGGGCCTGGAGGAGCTGGGTGGGGCCTGGTTCCAACCCAAGCCCAGCACTGTAGAGGGGAGGTGATGGTGTCAGGCCGGAGACCATGTGGCTGCTGCACGGGGTCCTGCTGAGGATTCTGGCATGGGTGAGGTCCAGTCCTGCAGAATCTGCCTCATGTCAAGACAACCAGCCGTGTGTCTTGTCCACTGGGCAGGAGAGGCACTCCGGTGTGGGAATGCTGGTCTCCTCTTACTTACATCGCACAGGTGTGGGCACCAGCAACCTGGAAGGCCCTTAGTCCCTGCCATAGGGAGCCACTGGGACAAAGCAGGCTGGGAGGGGTGGGTCGGGTGAGGTCTAGGTTACCTCGTGGAAGCAAAGGAGGAAGGTGTGGCAGTCACCTCTACCCAGCTCGGCTCGGGGATTTCGTTCAGGTTTCTGCCCCTCAGTTTCCCCCTTTGGAGGGGCAGTCAGCTTCGTATGTATGGAAAGCTTGGAACAGTGCATTCTTGATTTGTCATTAAGTTAAATGCTTGTACTATGTACATATATACACACATATATGGTTAAATACTTGTACAATTAATTCACCAATGAACTATAATGTCCATGGTTCAATAAATACATGTGTCAATCAATGTGTCAAGAAATAATGATGTAATTGTCATTGGGGTGAGGTGGCATACCCTGTGACCCCAGCACTCAGGAAGATGAGGCAGGAGGATGGGGAGTTCTAGGCCAGGCAGGGCTACAAAGTAGTGAGACCTCAGGCTGGAGAGTTGGCTCGGCGGTTAAGAGCACTGACTGCTCTTTCAGAGGACCTGGGTTCGATTCCCAGCACCCACATGGCGGCTATGAACCATCCTTAACTCCAGTTCCAGGGGATTCTGAAGCCCTCTTCTGACCTCTGTGGCATTGCATGACATGGGTGCACTCACATACATTGCAGGCAATACACTCATAGACATAAAATAAAAATAATAAAATATTTTTTAAAAAGTAGCGAGACTGCATCTCCAGAAACCAAACCAAACAAAAATAATGGAATTATCACTTATTGAGTGAGTGATGTGTAGAGTTATTTGACTCTCTTTAATTATAAATGCTGATTTAGTTGTATATCTGAACGACTGAAATGATCCCATAACCGATGGTGTCTGCGCGGTCCCGCGGCTCAGCCTGCCTCACCCGCTGGCCTGCTCTTGCTCTCTGATCTCAGCTCCTGACTCAGAGCCTGGACGACTGTGGTGCTGCTTTGTTTTGTTTTTCTAATTTGTTTCATCTCACTCTGTGGTTCAGCCTGGCCCCAAACAAGTGACAATCCCCCTGCCTCAGTCTCCCAACTGCCAGGATTGCAAGCCTGCAGTACCACACTGAACTTCCAAGGTGCTCTGTAAATGTGTGTTGAGCCGGTGACTGGTGTGTGGATGTGGCAAGGCGGCTCTGATTGTCACAGGCAGGAGAGGCCTGTGTGGTACTGACTGTAATCCATGTAGAGAAAGGATCTGGGGACAACTCCTGCTGCTGGTATGGCGTTCCTGAGACAGAGATGTGATTCCTCCCCCAGTAGAACTCGAGGGTGACCACACAGTTTCTTTCGAGGTCAGCTGTCCCACAGCAGGAATCACAGAGACTGTCCCTAGAGAAGCTGAAATAATTTGCCTTCCGTCAGCCTCTCCTGTGTGGTAGGAGGGAGGCAGGCCAGGGAGGGAAGGGTGGAGTCGGGGGTCTTGGGGTGTGCGGGGCGAGGTGTGCAGAGGGTAGCAGGGTTTCCTGAAAGCTGCTAAACCCTTATACTGAGGACCTGGTGGCTGCCATACTCTGCTTTGCTTTGCTCTGAAGTGTGAGGGCCAGAGGGGAGAGAGAGAAAGGGAAGCTAAAAATGTCCTGTCCCCCTACGGAGAGGGAGGGACACCCTGGATGCTTATTGACCAGCTTTGGGGGAGAAAAATCACAGTGCGTTTTGCTGCCCCAGATGCCCCTCTTTCCTGTCCGTGGGTTCTGCAGGGGTCTCCCAACCTCCTCTTGAGCTCTGCGTCCGTCTGGAGTGAGGCGTTGAGCAATCAGGCTGGTTAGAGGTCCTAAGCCCAGAATAAAGCAACTGTTGCCGAGGCCTGCACATTCACCCTGGTCCTGGCAGAGAGAGCACGGTACTGGAGGAAGCAGATGGCCAGGCTGCGGGATGCTTCGTAGCAGTTCAACTGCAAAGCCTGCTGGGCTATTGCATCACGGGCCAGACAGGGCTGTAGGACCAGGCAGGGACCATCGGACTGAACCTCAGGGCCTGAGGGAATGTGGGCAGCTTAGGATGTGTGACTGTCCCCAGAAAGTCAGCCTCAGAGTCTGCAGGACCTAGTTCAGTCCCAACTCCTAACGGGTCAGCTGCTGCTTGCCCCTGAGGAAATGGCTTTCCCTCTCTGAATCTTTGTATCCTCTAATACAAACCACCATTCCTGCATCCCATGGGACCCTGACCTCCTTGGGGATGCTGGTGGACTGAAGTCACCCTGAGCGGTGTACAGACAGTTCCTTCATGCTGAGGCACTGGGGTCAAGGTCGGCTGTGACCATGACACCCAAACCAGGGGCAGGAGCTCCACAGCTCTCACTCCTCTTCTAAGGCTCTGTCTTTCCTCTGGGTGCAGTGGTGTCACCGTGTGCAGTGGTTAGGTAGTCACTGACGCCCTGGACCTTGGCCTTGGTCCTGGGCTGTGTCTGTTCCTCCTGGCTTAGCTGGCCTCACCGGGTCTCCTCTACAGGTCGGTGACTGACAGCTATGTGGCCATGTCAGCTCTACACAACCACTGGGCACACCAGAGAGCTGCAGCCGGTCTCTCCCTGTGGGCAGGTGACAGGGCTGC